GTAATGTAGGCAACCGGAGTTGCAGGTGAAGCCCGGGATTTGAATTTCCTGGGCTTCATTTGCATGTTGCCGGGCGCCACCATTTTTAAATGTCCGCTAGTTCGGACTCCGTGCCCGCTACACGCGGCACGAACTAGGTAGTTCGGATTAGGCTTCAAATCCCGGGCTTCATTTGCAACTCCGGTTGCCTACATTACCAACCTAGTTCGAACTAGGATGGTAGTGTAGACATACCCTCAGCTTCTTCTTGTAGGTCATGGGCTCCCGGCCCCAAATCATTTTGGTTGCCCTCTGCTAGACCCTCTCCAATGCGTCCACGTCTTTTCTGTAGTGGGGGAGGGAGGGAAGAACTGGACATAATACTCCAGATAGGACTTCACCAGAGCTGAATGAAGGGGAGTAATCTCTCCCCTAGATCTGCCGACAATGCTCCTCCTAATGCACCCTAATATGCCATTAGCCATCTTGGCTACAAGGAAGCCCTGTTGATTTCTGGGCTGCTGCTGGCTGGCAGCTGCAGCACAGAAATAAGGATGGAATGGGATAGGATGGTTTTTTCAGCCTTATTTCTGCACGGCTCCTGGGAGGGAGGGGTGCCCTCAGAGCTGGGTACTCGGCCAACATCCCAAACCCCGGTCTCCCATCGCCCAGTTCTGAAGACAGCACAGAAGAGACTCAATACTTTTTCCTCTCCTAAAATAACCTTGTGACCCCCCCTCTCCCCCACACACTCCCGCAACTCTCTTTTGGGTCAGGATCCCCCATTTGAGAAACACTGGTCTTCCCCCATGAAATCTGTGGGGCATAGAACAGGGGTGGGCAAAAGACATTCAGTGGGCCGGACCCAGCTTTGATCCAGCCTGCGAGGCAGTTCCAGGCTCTGCCCCCTTGCGTGTTGCCACGAAGTGGGAGCGGGGCACAAGACCTTCAATCTGCTTTTATTTAAAAGGCTGGCGTTTTCCCCGTCTACACTAGGGAGTTACTTCAAAATAATAAGTGGAGGAACGGCCACATTCCCAAGCTGGTTATTTTGAAATAACGGGCTGGTTATTTCGAGCGCCATCCTCATAGACTCATAGACTTTAAGGTCAGAAGGGACCATTATGATCATCTAGTCTGACCCCCTGCACAGTGCAGGCCACAGAATCTCACCCACCCCTCCTAGAATAATCCTCTCACCTGTATCTCAGATATTGAAGCCTTCAAATACTTTGAAGGCCCCAAGATGCAGAGAATCCTCCAGCTGTGATCTGTACCCCATGCTACAGAGGAAGGCGAAAAACCTCCAGGGCCTCTGCCAATCTACCCTGGAGGAAAATTCCTTCCCGACCCCAAATATGGCGATCAGCTAAACCCTGAGCATGTGGGCAAGACTCATCAGCCAAACACCCAGAAAGTTCTCTATAGTAAGTCCTATCATCCCTCCATTGACCTATTTCCCACTGATAATGAATGATCAATTAGTTACCAAGGTCATGTTATCTCATCAAACCATCCCCTTATCATAGAATCATAGAACTGGAAGAGACCTCAGAAGGTCAACAAGTCCAGCCCCCTGCTCTAGGCAGGACCAATCCCAATCCTCCTGCTGTTCTTGGGGAACCACGCTTATTTCGAAGTAGCGGTCGTGTGGACGCTTCTCCGCTGCTATTTTGAAATAACGACTCCCCAGAATAATTCAAACTAATTACTCCCCAGTGCTTTCTGGGGCTCTAAGTCGAGGTAGCACGTCCACAATAACGAAGCCTGCCTTGGACTCATTTTGAGGCTCCCTCTTAGTGCAAATAAGAGCATCCAGACTGGGTCAGAACCAACAGTCCATCCAACCCAGTGTCCTGTCTGTGGCCAATACCAGCTGCCCTAGAAAGATGTGATCCCTCCCTTGTCATCCACCTCCAGAGAAATAGAGGCTATTTCAATTTTGTTATTTGGGGAGTTATTGTTTTCAAATTTAGTTATTTCGATAGAATTTCCTAGTGTGGACATGTCCTTAGGTCCTAGGTGGGGAATGGGGTTTAGTGGTTATTGCAAGAGGCTGGGAGTCAGGACTCTTGGCTTCTACCCCTACCTCGAGAAAGGGGAGTGTTATTCAGTGGTAATAGCAGAGGACTGTGAGTCAGGCCTGCTGGGGTCTATTCCCAGCATGTGGAGGGGAGTGGGAATGAAGACTCTGGGCTTCTATTCCTGTCTTTGCCGCTGCCTCAGTTTCCCCACCGGTGACAATAAGCGCAACCTCCCCCACTGTGAACATCTGGGGAGAAGTACTGTGAAAGTCAACCACGCTCACATGGCAGCTGTGGGTGCAAAGCCAAAGGTGAGACTCATTTGCAGCATGTTGTTCGCTTGGCTTCCCACAACGGCAGCAGTTTTTACCTCTGTCACCTTCATCCTTTCCATTCTCAGCCCCACAAATCAAATCCGCCCTACACCCTGCCAGTCTTGTGCCCCCAAGGGGAAACATCTGCTACCAGCTGTTTGGACAAACAGGACACAGATGTTGGCAGGTAGGCTATCTCTGGCCGGCCAGCTCACAACCTAACCACAGAGGCGTTAAGCACATGATGGTGGGGGAAACACGGGGTGTAAATTTAGCCTTCCCTGATATGACTCAGGGGCTCAGATGGTGTGAGCTCCCACAAAGCTGCTGTAGCTATGATGGGTGAATGCAAGCCTGGGATTTTGGAGGTCTAAGGAGGGTGACATCGAAGAAATGAAATGGGCATTTCATAGGTGACCTTACAGCAAGGATGTGGACACATTGGAGAGGGTCCAGTGGAGGGCAAACAAAATGATTTGGGGGCTGGAGCACATGACCTATGAGGAGAGGCTGGGGGATCTGGGCTTGTTTAGTCTGCAGAAGAGAAGAACGAAGGGGGATTTGAGAGAAGCATCCAACTCCCTGATGGGGGGTTCCAAAGAGGCTGGCGAGAGGCTGTTCTCAGTGGGGGCAGATGCAGAACAAGGAGCAATGGGCTCAAGTTGCAGTGGAGAAGGTCTACATTGGATATTAGGACAAATGATTTCCCTAGGCGGGTGATGAAGCAGTGGGCTGGGTTCCCTAGGGAGGTGGTGGAATCTCCATCCCTAGAGGTGTTAAAGTCCCGGCTTGACCAAGCCACAGCTGGGATGATTGAGTTGGGTTTGGTTCTGCTTTGGGTAGGGGGCTGGACTTGATGCCTCTCTTGATGATTCTCTGACATTGGACTGGAAGGGACCTCTTCCTAAAACTTTTGGGCCCTGTTCTGCCTGGTGGGAGATGGTGCTTCTTCTCATTTCCAGATGCAAATTGTTTCTGACCAGTTTATACTCATGGGT